GTTGTATCATTCTCTTCATCGTTCATTTTTTCATCAGAAGATCCACTATCCTCTGTTTCATTTTCAGATATTTTAGAAGCGATTTTGCCAAGACGTGGCCGTGTTCTTCGAGCTTGGATGACATTTCTACCCTTCACAATCTTTCCAGCAGGCCTTCCTCTTTTCCTTTTCCCATCTCTATTGGAGGAGTTTGGTATTACAGAATCTTTCCCAGAAAGTTTCCCTCTTCTCTGTTTCCCCTTGTTGACAGGCAAAGGCAGCAAATTCAAGCTTCCTACACCATCCAAACTAGTAGGTTTTTCCATATCTTGGTCCGAGTTGCTATAAGAACATACACATACAAAACATGGTTAGATTAGTCATTCAAGTAGAATCTTACAAATATTGAAGTAATTTCTTCTCAAGTAGGTTCATTTATAGATTCCAATCTATCCAGAGAAGCTACCATCTCTTACACTGCAGGAACCTGAATGGCAATAGACTACTGGCAGTTGTTTATATGGTGATTGTCAACTTTAGTATTAGAAATTTAGTTTTGCTTACTGAAGGTGAGGTGATGACTACAAATGGCACCTAATATAACATCTACAATATGCCTCTGCATTTTATATGTCAAAGATACAAGAAACCAGAAATACGTGAACTCCTAGCCACAGCCTTGCTAATAAATTACTAACTATGCTTACATGGAAATCTAAATTATTTATAACTTAAACTTACCTCTCTTCAAGTTTTGACCCATAGTAGCCCTTAGGCTTCAAGCTATATGCATCTTCTTGCAACTTTTGCTCCCGCTCCAAGCTGTCCTCCAACCACTGAGATTGAACAACATGCAATTTCTTCCTTGATAAGAGACATCTCTCCTCAGTACCGAGACTGCAAAGAAGAAAGAGAAAATTCCAGCTCATAGTAAAAACTCACCAAGAATGTCATAATTTATCTATTATATTAGTGACAATGTAATATTACAACGGTTATATTAAACTACAAGAAGATTATTAAAAGCAAGGGAAGCTAAAGCTAGAGAAACATAAGTATTATATAAATCACAATTGCACACAATTTTCATTCTTTGGAGGAAGGCTATGACCTCATGCTATACTTTGCAGCCACATTTGTAAAAGATCAATAAATGAAATGGTCACCAAAGAAATCTCTCTAAAATAATTATTAATTATTGCTAGCAAAAACCAAGGTGCTTCTGTCCAACTAAATTCAAGCCAATCTTCAAAATAACTACATTATCACAATGGATCAATGGGCCACCGGCCATGTGCTAAGTATGGCTAGACCTATAAGGTCCTCTTCTTTAGTGAGATTGTGTTCATTAATTGAAAGAAAAAGGCCCTCTGGTAACCATCTTGGACTCTCTGAAAGGATGATTCAGCCACGCAGAAGCTCTCAATTTCTCTTTCCAAATGGTCCTTAGAATAGACAGTGGAACCAGGCCAAATCTTCCTTCTCTATTTCATTACAGCTGTTCCTTCTTCCAATCCAATTATATTATGAAATCCATCAATCAGTTTACATACTGCTAGATCAACAGCAAGACATCAAGAACAATAAGCTTCTCAAAATAATAGTTACCAGTAATTGTTAAGCATCTTGATCAAGCAACACAACAACTCTAAACTGTAGATACCTTTTCATAAGGAAATCAAAATCCATTCTGTCCCCCAATGCTGACAAGAGTATAAAATGAGAAGCATGGGCAAGATTGTTACTAACTTTTCCACCACCCATCAAAACTTCAAGTGTCAACCTCCTCAGTGTGAGTCCCGACAAGGTTTCCCAGTCAGGTTTGCTTCAGGAAAGGATCAAAAGAATGCAATTAAACAACTGTTTGTGTAACAAAATCATCAAAATACCAAGTAGATGAACTCATGATGGTTCTGAGATCTTACAGAGACTCTGTACATGTGTAGAAGTAGATGCAGCAGCCATGAAAACAACACCATTTGTCCTTTGGACACAGCATTTTTTTATAATAGTCCACATTTTTTATGTCTTCGGATCCATAAATATTACTTAGGAGCTGGAGAACATTAAAGGGTACTATGTAAAGCTACAATATATACTTCCACTTTTTCAACAAAAAATATGCAAATGGAATTGCTATCTGATTCTCTACTTGTTTTTACATACAGTTTGATAGCACCTCTCAGATATATAATTGTGCAGATGAACATTACTACCTGTTTAATGTCTGCAAGATCAAGATCGCAATAATAAGAATCAGAAAATTCATCAATTTCTTCATGTAATCTCTTCCTTGAAGTATCCGACAGAAAGAGGAAATACCTAGCAAAATAAAATAGTCCTCATCATGAAACCACATTCTCTCAAAAGGTCCCAAGGTCTAAATTTGGTAATAAACAACAAATTAAATGATAACAAGTCTCACTTTGGCTGAAGAGGGAGAAGCTTCTTTTGTGAACAACAATCCAAAATCCAAGAATAATGGATGATATCTCCCCGCAGCTTTGCTCCCTGATATTTAATCCCTACCATATTTTTTTCTCAATTATAGTCTTCAACCAAGAAAAATCCTCCATAGATGTCTGCAGTAACTGTGTAGAAGGAGTTTAACTAGAGAGAGGGTGGGGGAGAGAGGAAGAGGGAGAGTGACATACCAGTATTTTCAGCTGCAATACAGTGAGTGACAGAGGAGTTCAAATTCATGGAAAATGCCCCACCATTCTCAACAACCATTTTGTGTAAAGAATCAAGAGAATATGTTGGAGGCACATTAACAAAGTCTAGACATGTAAAGGAGAATCAGAAAGGGAAAAACTAGGAAGAATGAAGAAAACAAAGAAGAAACAAAAAAATTAGAGTATCAGAGGATTCAAAACCCAGAAAGTCAGAGATTGAGCAAATTTGAGTAATATATTAGTTATGCTCCAAGTTACATTGCTATACAGTAAGGAGAGGTCCAAGACCACGTTAAAAAACATTGAGAGAGAGAGAGAGAGAGAGAGAGAGAGAGAATAAAGGAAATAAAGCTAGTCTGACCAGTAGAGATGTTAAAGGATACAAAACATCATCTTTGAGAATATGAAGGTTTTTCCCTTAATGTTGGAAACATCAGTATGAAGAAAGTGTGACGGAACAACTGAGACATGCTTCTTATCTCCCCTTTTGGAAGACCTTCCATGCTTCACTCTACTACCCGGCAGCCCTTCATATTCTTCATGTTTCTGTGTGGTACCATTACTTGAATGTACTAATTCTACAAATGCTGCAACGGATAAAACGAAAGACCAAACCTTAAGATAATACCAAAAATGTCAGTCATCAAAATGGCAAAACACCAAAAAGCCAAGGAAGCGTGTCCATATTTTCTTCTTACACTGCACATCAAGGCATTCATGCCAAGGCTTGTCATATCTTACTCTATCAATACGCGGAAATCTCAGGCTGTATGGTGCAGCAAATACCTGAAACAGTAATGGAGATATATAAACAAATGATTAACAACCTTAAGCAGCAACTGCAGTACATTATTTCATAAATCAACAGAGAAAAATTCAGGGTCATTGGACACACCTCGGACCTTATAGTCCTAATGTCACTGGTAATAGAAAAAATTATTGATCTGCAATAGGGATAAGAAAAAGCCAGTAAGTGACTCTTATTAATGTCAAAGAGATCTATTTCTTTGATCTTGAGAGTAAATAAAAAATTATACTAACTTCTCAGGGCTGTCAATCCAAACATCCGGTCTCTCTTTGGAATGATTTGTAACCTGATAGAAGCTTGGTGCTGCCTTCTTTGGGTATTCATATTTCCTAAGAAACATAAAAAGTGGAAAATATATAAATAGCAGTGAGGTATGATTTGAGACAATTCTTGTACAAGCATCTTGTCATTAGTAAGTATATCATTGGCATTGTTTTCATAGAAACAAAAAATATATGTAAAAGTGAGCAATTGCCAATGATAAATGTGAAAAATAATCAAATCTGAGATCATATGGCAGGCAATAATGATAATAAAATCTTTAGTTCTTTCATAATCTCCGGTTTGCTTGTGGAACATCTTTTCCCGGAGTGCTGGAAGTAAGCATCAAACTTTGACTTCTAGCTGTCTTCAAAGTACCTAAAATAAGGTTTTAATTTGGAAACAACAGTATCAAGCTCCTCATCAGAAAGCCCAGTACCCACCCTGCAAAAGGAGATAAACCTGCAAGAGAACAAATTGATTATTGTGCCGACAAAGGACAGATAAAAAATGCCATTATAGTTAGATAAATTATTCAGGAAATATCCTATAAATAATAGTTCGCTTCAGAGAATTGACATATTTTTCCCTTCAAAAAAAGAAATTAATTCAGCCTACAACCTTTTTATTATTGACATAATAAAGCAACTCCTTATCTATTCTCCAGTGTATATTAGATCCTCATCATAGAGCTTCAACCGAGATCAATTAGGCATTGGCAATGTTCTTTTTGCCAAGAAACTAACAGTTGCAAACCCTTACCGTCTGGGATATACATTTGGTCCTGAAGACTCAGCTAAACCAACTAAGAATTGTGCAACCTGAAAAAGAAAATAAAAAGGTCTGCAGTCATAAATGACATAAAGGGGAAATAACAGAGGTAGGCAGAAATTGAACCTCTCCTCCACGACGTCCAGAGCCATAGTATCCTCCTGTTGGCAATTACGAAAATGTTAAACCACTTCTGTTAAGAATTGAAAGTTTTTTTAAGTAAATATATGCACCTATGATAAGAGCATCTAAGTCAGAACCAGCACGAATATAATCCGGCTTCAACTTCAACCACTTTCCACTACGGTCACTAGGTTCCCATTTGGAACCAAGGTCTTTTATGACAATTCCTTCGTCTCTGAAGCAGTAAGACATCAAGCATAAATGACAAGTTAGACAAGAATAAATAGCCAAGACTTATGTTCATGCTTGGCTGCTTAAAAACAAAACAGAAAATCAATAGAGAATAATATTCTTGGCCATAAAATTTTTTTAGAAGAAAAAGAAATATGAGGGCCTCAAGAGAATTGCTCCTATTTCATAGAGGTAGGGTAGAAAGGTGGCATCACTTTGGTGCCTACCTTTGTTCTCCAAAAAATAAATAAGTTGTTGGAAAAGAGTATTACCTATTTTCGATGGTTTCCTTGAAAAATCTGTCAACATCATCGGCACTGTAAGCAATACGTGACCAACAAGGCTCCCCTGCATGATTAACATAGTCACAAGTAAACTCCACGCAAATCTAGTATAGATAAAATATAATGAAAACCTTATGGTAAATAAGAACTAGTTAACTGAACCAGAAAAGATTCACTGCAAACAAATGTAGACAGCAAACTCCACACAAAGTCACAAGCACATGACTATGTTAAGCCAAACTTAGTAAAAAGCTGACTCCTTTTTGCTCTAAGCTTATGGAAAATATTCAGCTAATTGAAAATCTAGCTGGTACCAAATGAATCCTAAGAACCAAGTAGCCTTGCCACCTAATTTATGGAGGTTCCACTTCACTGTCATCTACTATTGCAGAAATACAAGGACAGACAGTCAAGTTTATGCTAAGGTAACAAAGAGAAATTGACTACTGAGAAGAATTAGAAACGGATTAGAACACTGGACAGGTGGTATCTCCTGTATTTGAGTCAGATTTCTTCAAAAACACAACTAATGCAAAAATTGCAAAACCAATTGGTGCCAGAATAAAACTATTTCACAAATAATCTGAATAAGAATAACATCAAACATATAACTAAGTACTAGTCATTCATATATTCCTGCTCACACTGTTGTAATTAGGTAAATACTAGTCTTTCGCATATTCCTACTCACATTATTGTAATTAAGTAGATACTTGTAATCTATATCTCCCTTACCAAGAGAGCGATGAGAATTAAGACCCCCATTTGGTACTAGAATCTCTAAACGGCCTTTCAAAGGCTTCACCACTTTCTGTAGCAGCTCCTGCCTTTCCTTCAAACTTTGGTGGATGACACTAGTATCTCCGACATAAAGGATATCAAATGCAACATCTAGTCAATCACAAGTCAAGTTCAAGAAATTGCTTCAAACCACAAAACCTTTTTTTTTTTAGATTTTGAGGATGCATGATATGTCTCTCAAAACAATCATGGGTAGCTGGGTGGGAGTAAATCGAGTTATTGAAAAGATGGGCTACACCATGACTCCAATTTGAGTCACAAACTAGAAGGATACAACACAACTGCAACAAGAAAGAAAACACAAATTAATTCTTTTAATTGAAATACAAACTACATTTTGAATAAGCATTTTCATTATGGAAAGAAAAAAAAAATCACAACAATAACCTGTCTATGACTGTCAAGCCCTTCTTTCGCTGCCTTGGCTGCAATGAGATTATTAAAGATAATAATTGGTTAACAGTAGAAGAAACAGAACGGTAAAATGATCAAATTGGAAAAAGAATTCTAGCAAATCAAAGCTTTGATGACCTATTTCTTGGTTTGAACCAAACTCAGCAAATTGATCCAAAGATGTGTCCCAGACCAACATTTCTCCATCAAGAATACACCTATTTGACGGTTAAAAAAATTGTTGTCATGAGAAAAAACAAAACAAAAATTAGGACAATATAAACCCAAAACTTAGAAGTGTCATAATACATTAGATATGAAGTAACTTAATAGTGGTCTATCTACTTAAACAAAAACATTTCAAGCATATGGAACAGGGAAAAGGGGAAAGTAAGATGCATTACAAGATAAAAGCTAAGCAAGCCAGCAATGCTCTCTCGTCATCATAAATTCTTACCTATCAACCAGAACATGTTGCACGATAAGATCTGACATTGCATGTGCATATTCAGAGTGATCAAGAAAGTTCCTGCCATAACAAGCAAAATACTGAATCATAGTGAATTACATGTGCGAATAAATCAACTTCCTTCCTAATTTTCTTTCTTGAAGTACTTAATTCCCATAATTAATATTCTAGCAAAGAACTAGAAGACCATTAACCTCAACAAATTTCTTCAAAATAGAAAAATTTTCTTGCAAAATATTGCCAACCAAAAATCTTCTAAGCCTTAAAAATATCTATTTTAAAAACATAACAGTGATCTGTGATGAAGATGCTGAGAGACTGCACCTACCTTGAGAAATAGTGTATCTCCGTTCCATTTTTGTGAATTTGGATGCGATCTCCATCAAATTTACACTCAACAATCACTTCCTTCCCATGAAGCTACATGTATAGAAGAATAGAAGCATAAGACTGAAAACATTATACTCTCGTAGTATTTGTTTTCAAATTTCTAGGATAAATTGACTGTACTTATTGAAGCTGCTAAATTAAGTCTGCCAATGTACACCTTCTTCCATGCAACAGTTGCATCACCAACTCTCATAGCCAGTTGGGGACGCACAGCCTTTCCTACTTCAATATCCTGCAAAAAGTAACAGGCACAATGTGAAAAATTGATATTATATAGTAAACACCAAATACAATTTCTAGTAAACCTGGCACTTGAAAATATGCGAAGAGTTGCATCCCAAAAGCATAAGGGATATCAAAACTGTTTCTAAATTTGAAAATTTGTAATAAACCTGCCGCTTATGCCGTTGACTGCGATCTCTCAACTTTTCACAAACTAACTTTAAGTCACAGGTGACATTAAACAAATCTTCAGCATCAGGGTGAAATTCATGAAAAATACTCTTTTCGCTAATCCCCAATTTCAGATCTGCAGTCATTTCATAGCGTAAGTGAAGCCTAGATCATATTTAAAACAAAAATATTCGAAAGAAATCCAGAAACAAAAAGAGCATGATATTTTTTTAAAAGAAAAAAAAAAGCACAATAATAAACAAACCTTTAAGAATTATCATGACAATCCATTTCATTTCCTGGGCATTTGTCATCTTAATAAGGATAGAAAGGACTGAAATCTTCTCTGATCTATTGCCATTTCTTAAGAAAAAAATAAAACAGGCCCAATTAAAAATAAAACTTAAACAGTGATAATATTCCAGAAGCATCAAATATTATAATGGAATAATTATGTTAGGAGCCTAATAGCCTATTATAAGGATTTAAATTCAAGCAGGTTACACAACTTAAAAGAAAAACCATTCACCACAAAAATATATATACACACACAAAAGTAAACCCAAATAAGCATTGAAAGGCAAGATGGCTATGCAGATTTTGTTAGAATGTACAATAAATTGAATCTTGTCTTCTCAGCTGAACTTTCAGAATAACTGATGAAATCCCACTAAAAGATTATGTTATGGCAAGCTCGTCAAGAAAGAATCCATACTGACAAAATTGGTAACTTGAAGAACCAACAACAGGAGATAATAACAACAATAAAGAAGGTGGCTTTCTAACAAAAAGTGAATCGAAATAAATCCTTTAATGTCAAAGTGAAATAGAGATCCAGAATGAACAAGGTGATTATCCCTGTAAAGCATCCTTGAGCTACGGCAGTAAAAAATGCCCCTTCCATAAACATTTTCCCCCTGATTTATCCCAGCTCATCCCTAAAGGTTAACAATCCGGCATAGATGCGATGAAGAAAGCCAATAAGTAATACCTGTTTTCACTCGAAGCTAAGCGATCAAGCAAATCATTTAACTCCTTGATTGTGAGTCCACCCGAAGCCATTCCTTGCCTTCTCTGCAGGACCTGTTTGGCAAGAAGAGTAACTACTACTTACCAAAAAATAACAGAACGAAGTAAAATAAAGAGGAAAAAAGTCCGAAAGGAATACCTCAGCAGCAACGAGAGCAAAGTTTCCCGCATTAGCACCGGCCTTGGCGCCGGCTTTGCGCCAGTTGATGAGACGCACGGCGTCCTCGGAGTCCCTGGACATGCCGAGGGCATCGACGAGGCAGGTGGCGAGTACCGACTCCTTAAGACCGTAGGTCCCCCGCTCTCTATCGAGCGAAGGAAGGATAAGGCGAATGGCAGCAAAGTAGTCGACGGGTTTGCAGAAAGTGTCGAGGAACTTCCGGAATTTGGAGCGCTTCTGGGTGGAGGTTTTGCTCTTCTGAATCCAGTTGAACAGACTTACTAACACGCTGAACTTGGTTTCCTCTGTCATTTCTCTTCTTCTTCGTCTCTCAAGCAGCTCTTCTTCAGGAATTTTGAATCCGTGCGTATATATCACCGAGCAGGGGAGTTTTCTCGCGTAAAGCTTGCAGCGGAAGGAGTTATGGGCACGCTCCAGTTTCGGCAGAGCTTTTTTTTTTTTCTTTTTCTTTTTTTTTTAATTCACATTTATTTGCAATTTTATGTTAAATATAAAAATAAATATTGATTTATAAACAAATTTAAATATAAACTCAAATATAAACAATATATAATTTAGAGCTGCTTTAATTTCTTGTGAAGTCAACAGGCCTGAATAAATTTCTCTCTTTATTATTTATTTTATTTTCTATTTTTGCTCTATAAAATTGTAATTATATATTTTAATAATTTTTTCTTTATATATGAATTTATCATTGTTTGCTGTTCGAAGATATGATTTTAATTTCTAATTGGTGTATTTATATTTATCAAATTTAATCTTTTACTATTTGTGTATATAATATTTATAAATTCAATTTTATAATAAAAGCTATTATAAGCAAAGCAAATATCACCCGCCTTTCAAAGCCTCCTTAGTTGTGTAATACCAAAGGAAATACACGATTGATAGAAAATGAATCAAAATTTCATATGAAGTTATATTTTTTATTAAAAAATAAATAAATTAAATTTTAATCTCATTATAATTATCTCAACTAAAAAAAATACGATAGTCATATAATATTTTTTTCAGTTGTATACTTAATGATTACTTTAAAACTAAATTCAATTTGATTGTTGCATCTCAATTACAGAATTAATAGATTACACATTTGATCTTGTTGAATTAAATATTATCAGTTAATCATTATTAACTCATAATACACTTATAAAGTAATAAATTCTATTTTTTCAGTAAATGAATCACTATCAATTCATAATACACTTATAAAATGATAAATTCTATCTTTTTAATAAAATATAAATTTGTAATTTTTAAATTAAAATGTAATAATTTTAACCATTATACTACTGTGTCAGTATAAAATTATATTGAATTAAATCAATATATCAAAATTGTATTAAGTGATTTATCTCTTTCGGACAATTTTATAGACACCCTATTCCAAACTAATAATTCTAGTTCAAACTATTATTCATAAAAATTGAAATTTAAGCGATCATATTAGGAAGAAGACCTCTTTGCCAAAGTAAACGCCTTGGAGATCTCAAACTTAAATTTTGACATAAAACTTCTAATCATTAAACAATGAGTTGCAGCACAGAACGATAAAGAAATCAAATCAGATGCTACATAAAGAATGGGATAAGAAGGAGATTCAAGATACTCAGCTATTAAGGAATTTACAGGCATTAAGATAATAATTCACAGGTACAATCTATTTTTTTTATAATTTTTCTCAAGAAAAAAGGAAAATGACTCAACTCATTAGTCAATGTCGTTTGACCTTTAGCTCTGCACTTGCTTCGGCTATGTGTTGCCTGAAATGGAAGCTCTTCTCAGAAAGTTGAACCATTGAACCCGAAGAACGAGCGCTAGGCCAAGAAAGAAGAGAAAGAAGATGAGCATTTGTATTAAGCAAAAACTATTCTTCAAATTTCATAATGATAAGCCAAGCATGTGCATCATATCATACACACAATGTGCATGGGCACACAATGTGCATTATACAACC